CATAAAATTTCCACAGTATGTTTGCAGATACTTAATAATCAGGCAAGTAAACGCACTTGTTTAACTGAAAAACATTGCTAAAGTCAGATATTCCCCTTTGAAAATGTGCGTTCTGTGTCAGAAAGTCTGACTTTGTTTTGCTCTCTATAATCCTCCACTGCCAGTTTCTATATACAGTTAAAGTCAGAATTATTAGCCCCCCTTTGATTTTTTTTATTCTTTTTTAAATATTTCCCAAATTGTGTTTAACAGAGCAAGGAAATTTTCACAGTATGTCTGATAATATTTTTTCTTGTGGAGAAAGTCTTATTTTTATTATTTTGGCTAGAATAAAAGCAGTTTTTAATATTTTAAACACCATTTAAGGTCAGTTTTATTAGCCCCTTTAAGCTATATTCTTTGTATTATCTACAGAACAAACCATCATTATACAATAACTTGCATAATTACCCTAACCAGCCTAGTTAACCTAATTAACCTAGTTAAGCCTTTAAATGTCACTTTAAGCTGTATAGAAGTGTTAAGTTGTATTTTATCCGCTTCATTCATCCGCCAGAAATCGGCAGAAAAAATAAACAGGGAGGCTGATAATTCAGACTTCAACTGTGTGTGTGTATATATATATATATATATATATATATATACATACACACAATATATATATTAAAAATATATTTAAAAAAATATATTTATATAAATACATACATATATATATATATATATATATATATATATATATATATAAACGGCTATTTAACAGTACTTAACAGCACTTTACAGTAAGTCTAATTAAATAATTGATGCAATTTAAAAATTAATGACACTTAATATTCTCTTATTTTTTTCTCTTGACTTTGTTCTGAAATATGGCCAGTAAATGTGCTCCCCGTGCATCTGAACTCTTCTTTCATTGAGTGGGTGAAGGACAGAAAACTCCTTCATGTTAATTGCTTCCGCCGTGTTTCACAATAGAGTAATTTGCGAATGAACCACAAACCGTCCTCCACTGACCTGTCCCACTTATCCTGCGTTACAGAAAGCTGAATTCAAATTACCCGTGTAAATTAATTTTTTGATATGTAAAGCATTGCCCTGCATACTAATATGGCACCATCTTTATACAATTAGGTTCATAATACCACAATCAAAGTGGATGTCGTACATGTAATCATGATTTCAGTACAATAGAAAGAATCCTCAGAAACTAAAATGCTATAAATGCAGCACAGTTTTAATCAGCATTATTATTTACAAAACAATTAAATTAAATAATAAATAACATTACATAAATTGCTGCTTGTTCAAACTACTTGAGCTGAAACACAATGCTTGAGAATTTTGGGAGAACAACTTTATTGTTTTATGTTCAATCCATTTAAATTTGTTAAAACCCAATTAACCTAATTGATTTGCATTGGGACAGTAATGGGATTAAATATATATATATATATATATATATATATATATATATATATATATATATATATATATATATATATATATATATATATATATATATAAAATCTGTTAAACAATTTCTGTTTAAGGGAGAGCAGATTTCTTCAACACATTTCTAATCATAACAGTTTTAATAACTCATCTCTAATCACCGATTTATTTTATCTTTGTCATGATGACAGTAAATAATATTTGACTAGATATTCTTCAAGACACTTCTATACAGCTTAAAGTGACATTAAAGGCTTAACTAGGTTAATTAGGTTAACTAGGCAGGTTAGGGTAATTAGGCAAGTTATTGTATAACGATGGTTTGTTCTGTAGACTATTGAAAAAATATATAGCTTAAAAGAGGTAATAATTTCGACCTTAAAATGGTTTTTAAAAAATTCAAATCTGCTTTTATTCTAGCCAAAACAAATCAAGTAAGACTTTCTCCAGAAGAAAAAATATTATCAGAAATACTGAGAAAATTTCCTTGCTCTGTAAAACATCATTTTAGAAATGTTAAGAAAAAATGTAAAGGGGGCCAATAACTCTGACTTTAACTGTAAATATATGAGTAATATCACACGAGTAGCAATGCAATATGGCTGTATAGCGCTATTAGTGGGGGGGTCTAAGTTTGCTGGTTTAAAGTAAAAACAGTATTTAATACATAATAATATTTCATAAAAATTAAATATAGACAAAACATCATTAATTAATTCATGAAGAAACAGCTATTTCAGTTGTACATTTTACAGCAAATTAAAGTAAGTGAAAATAAACAAATAATTGAAGTTAAAAATACCTGAGGCCTCAAGCCAACGCACAATATGTATATACAGCCCTATTCCCCTTCTACTCATGTGATATTGCTCATATATATATATATATTTTGTTTTCCAGTCATTTTGATAACTTGTTTTTCCATCATATACAGTTGAAGTCAGAATTATTAGCCCCCCTTTGAATTTTTGTTCTTCTTTTTTAAATATTTCCCAAATTATGTTTAACAGAGCAAGGAAATTTTCACAGTATGTCTGATAATATTTTTTCTTCTGGAGAAAGTCTTATTTGTTTTATTTCGGCTAGAATAAAAGCAGTTTTTAATTTTTTAAACACCATTTTAGGGACAAAATTATTAGCCCATTTAAGCTCTTTTTTTCAATAGTCTACAGAACAAACCATCATTGTAAAATAATTTGCCTAATTACCCTAACCTGCCTAGTTAACCTAATTAACCTAGTTAAGCCTTTAAATGTCACTTTAAGCTGTATAAAAAGTGTCCTGAAAAATATCTAGTAAAAAAAATATTTACTGTCATCATGGCAAAGATAAAATAAATCAGTTATTAGAGATGAGTTATTAAAACTATTATGTTTAGAATTTAGAAATCTGCTCTCCGTTAAACAGAAATTGAGAAAATAATAAACAAGCGGTCTAATAATTCAGGGGAGTTAATAATTCTGACTTCAACTGTATAAGATTTATGCATGTAATGTGTAAAATATTGTTTTGAGATATATTTAGTTACATGAAAAGTTCATTAATTTATATCAGACAATATTTTGTAATGCTGTTAAACTAAAAACAAGTCAAAATTAAATTAAAAAATAAATTAATTTAAATCAATAAATGTGTCATTTGCATATTTATTATGCATATGTAAATACACACATGCATGTATGAATTATTTTTTTAAATGTTTATTTATATTAACAAATCGAATATTTATTTCTGATAAATATTATTTATTCCCTGTGTTGGGTTGCAGCTAGAAGGGCATCCGCTGTGTCAAACACTAGTTGGCAGTTCATTCCGCTGTGGCGACCCCAGATTAATAAAGGGACTAAGCCAAAAAGAAAATGAATGAAAGAAATATGATTTATAAATAGAAATACATGAGTAAACATTTGTGTTTTCTGTTTTTTTAATACTTCAGCATTTTATGCATGCTTGTATTTATAAACTGCACAAAAAATAAAGGGAACGCCTAAACAGCACAAAGTAACTCCAAGTGTGCCCTTTATTTTTTTGAGCACTATATATAAATACGCATAGCACAGACTAAACATTTCATGTAGGCTAAATATGAGAGTAAAATAAGCAAGAGATGAATATATCAAACTGAATATATTTAACATTTATAACCTCACTCTCGTCTTAATCCGTTTCACACATTAATCGCATGGTTGATATGCTCGTGGTAAATGCACACGCTCTTGTTAATCACAGGTGAAAGCATGAAAATGATGTGAAAACACCAGCAGTTTTTTTAAGTTAACTAGCAGAACTATTATGATGATATGCTGACATCTAGAGGAAGAACAGAGAACTGTCATGTTCTTGCACTATTCACTTTTCTATTGTTGATGTGAGAACAGCTTGCAGCAAACCAAACGCTGAGTGTTTATTTCCTTATTGAGAGGGAGAAATTGTCACTGTTTTGGAGCACACTAGCTTATAGATATACTTGAAGCTAACAATACTGATCCTAACTGATATTTAATGTTGCATGACCTTTATCTGAATGACATTAAGAAAGAAGTGTTGCCTTGTTTTTTTTATTGAGAGTTGCTCTGTCTCGACTCCTCATCTGTTTTCATGTGTCCTCAGTGTGTTAGTTTGCTTGCGGGAGCAGCAGAACCAGGCCGTGTTGGCTGGAGAAACGCAGCGTGGCTTCCTTAACTAGTCAAACACATCAATAAATCTGTGATTGAAATCCTGACAGATCATGGTCTACTGCACAGTACAAACTGCACCACTGGATAAACTTAAAGGGGACCTATTATGCCCCTTTTTACAAGATGAGTCACAAGTAGAGTGTGTATGTGAAGTTTCAGCTCAAAATACCACACAAATAATGTTTTATAACTCTTTGAAATTTAATTTTGATCCTAATTGTGGCGTTTTGGTGACCGTTGCTTTAAATTTAAATGAGATTGTGCTCTTTTCAAAAGAGGGCGGAGTTACAAATGCCTATGTCAGCATAGCGGCAGATTTAAAAGTGCTTCTCACTCAGGGCCACTAGTGGGCGGGGCTTTCCCCCTCTGATGACACGTACAAAGGGAGAATGTCAATCAAAGTGTTTCTGCAGACTGTTTATATCAAGTATGATTTTAAAAAATATAATTAATTATTTTTTACTATTAGAAGCTGGAGATGTTCACACACTGTTACCACACAACTGTGTTTAAACCCCTTATAAAAAGTGATTCATGCATAACAGGTCCCCTTAAAATGGATGATTCACCCAAATATTAATTATTATATAAATATTAATTATTAATTAGTAGTAGTAGTAGTAATTTTATAAACACACATCTGCTTGAATAGCCAATAGAGTAGGCCAGCATGCATTCATTATGCCTCAAAACACTGAAAACTTAAATAACTTTGATTAATAAATTAGATGTAATCAAATGAAATGTATACATTTGGTTCAGTAAAGCAAGCATATGTCTTACATAACATTAGTCAATGTGTAATTCACACAGTTTTTGGATGAACCATCCCTTTAAAAATTACTTCCCCTTCTTATACCTAAAATAATTCATTTATTGATTCACACCTAAAACGTGATTGGTTGCATGATCCAATGGTTTAGATTTTGCCTTGTGTATGATCTCTGTGGTGAGCTGCTCACCTTCTGTGGATCTGATGATCTGGAACTCCTGCTGGAGGTTTAAGGGGCGCAGTGATTTTACCATCATCAGTGCTTTACTGGGGTAAAGATGCCGCATCACCTTCAGACAGCAAAACCTACCACAGCGAACAAACATTACAGCATAATAGTTTGCATAATAAAGCATAATAGTTCAACTTATTTTTAGTTATCAATAGTGTTTGAAATGTAATTAAACTACGGTATATAATTGTTTACATAAAAAAAAAAATCAATACATTTTTTTAATTTTTAGGGTTAAAAAATAAATTTTTAAATGTTGAAATCTAAAAAAAACTTATATTTTAACTTAAAATTAATCTTTATTTTATTTTTATCTAAAAATTAATATTATTCTAAACTAAACATTTATATTTATTTTATTTTAACCTAAAAATGATTACTTATTTTATTGTAAACATAATTAATATTTATTTTATTTCAAACTAAACATTAATCTTTATTTTATTTTAAACTAAACATTTATACTTATTTTATTTTAACCTAAAAAATGATTACTTATTTTATTGTAAACATAATTAATATTTATTTTATTTCAAACTAAACATTAATCTTTATTTTATTTTAAACTAAACATTTATATTTATTTTATTTTAAACTAAAAATGATTACTTATTTTATTGTAAACAGAATTAACACTTATTTTATTGTAAACGACATTAATATTTACTTTATTTTAAACAAAAAATAAATATTTATTTTATTTATATTTATGTTTTTGTCTCAGTTTGATTATTTTTAATTTATATTTTTAATTAATCTGTTTTGTTCGTCATTTTAATTTCATTAACTTTTATTTTATTTTTTGTGGGGGAGGGTTATGGGGGGCTTTTTATTATTAAAATGTATATAATGTTACTATTAAAACACTAATGCTTACCAAAATAATATTAATAGCATGCTTATTTTTCGTTTACTTTTGTTGATAATGCTTACTTTTTTGTATACATTTTTTAATCTTTATTATCAAACACAAACAATAATCCAAAAACAAGCAGAGCTAATATTTAAAGCTTGATTTTCTTTCAGATTTTAATGGTTTTGTACCAATTGTATATATTAGTGTTATTAAATCAGTCCATTGTTTTATTTTTATTGCGTCATTTTTTTGTACTTTTGTGTTTTGTTCACTTTGTTTTTGCCTTAAACTGTTACTTAAACTAGTAAATTTGTTCTTTAAACAATTGATATTTTTGAGCTTGGGAAAGGCTCACTGTAAATAAAACCTAAACTTGTGTGAGATTGCAAATTTTAATTACTTTCTCCAACAGAAGATGAGAACTGGAAACAAGTCCACTACTGGCTGATAGAAGAGCGTTCGGTCCACTTTTCCAGAGGCAAAACGCTGCAGGACGACTTCTTTTTGGGCCTCACTGCTGTTTATCTGACACACACACACACACACACACACACACACACACACACACACACACACACACACACACACACACATAATATATTATAAATAACATACATATAAAAAATCAGCTCAGGTATAATGCAGGGCGGACAGAAACAATCGTACCAGGAGTTTTGGTGAAATCTGTGAGGTCAGAAATATGTTGATGATCAGCTCAGCTTTATGATGAAGCATGGCATAATCGCTCTCGCTATACAAACCCTCTGATACCATCTTATCGCCAGCGTCTGCCATACGCCTGAATCTGTAATCTCACAAAACCCCAGTCAGTCATTTATAATTATATCGCAGTGCATGTAGAGCGCCCTCTGCTGGACGGTCCTGACCTCTCACACTCCAGATAAAAACACAGGTCATTGACCAGAAAGTCCACTGTCACCAGTTTGTCCATGATGCACCGTATCTTGGGTTTGTACTTTTCTCCATCAGTGCTTAATTCGGAGCTATGATTGGCTTTGGATCTTACCACATAAGCTGCAGAAAAACAACAGAGGGTTTAACTGTTATCAGCCCTAAATAAAGATATGTTAACTATCAATATATTGCGTTAAATATACATAATACATACTGGTGGACATTCACCCTTTTAAATTCTAAAAATGTATGAAATAAAAAAATAAATATCATATAAATACATAAATTTGCATTTATAATCATTTCGGAAAATCTTTTATATTTAAAAAAAATTGACATCTGTTACTAATATTGTGACATTAATCCATATATTTGTATTTTTATTTATATTCTAAATAAAATGTATACTCTTTGTCAGTGTGTATATATTCTTTGGCTTATTTTTGCCATTAAGTTATTATTTTTCTTCCTCACAAGTGATTTGTTTTTGTTGTTCATGTTAGAACCACCTTTTGGGTATACTAACATAAATTGGGGGCTCGTCCGGGATGAACAAGTGATCTCTCCTTTTAAAATAGCAACCACTGATTAATACCATATTCCAAATTTAAAAATTAGAATTTGCATATTGATTTGACATCAAAAAGGCACCCAAACAATTGCAAAAAACACATTAAAAATCTTAATGGAAAAATTAATTCAAGGGCTCGTCCAGGATGAACCCAGGACCTCTCCTTTTAAAATAGCAACCACTGATTAATACCATATCCCCAAATCTCTATTTATATATAGAAATTCGAGCATGCATATTAATTTGACAGTAAAAAGGCACCCAACAACGCAAAAATATTAAAATCTTTATGGAAAAAAAAAATTGGGGGGCTCGTCCGGGATAAAACCAGGACCTCTCCTTTTGAAAAGGCACACATACTGTTTAACAAAAGCTTTACTTGTAATTATATTTGGAACATCTAATATGCATGTTGATTTGACATTAAAAGTGCACCCGTCAATGCAACAATATTTTGTATTTTATATGTATTAATTTTTCTATGCCTTATATAAAATATTTGGGTATATTAACAAACTGGGGGTTCGTCCGGGATGAACCCAGGACCGCTCCTTTTGAAAAAGCAACCACTGATGAATACCATATCCCCAAATCTCGACTTATATATGAAAATTCTCCTATGCATGTGGATTTGACATTAAAAGGCACCCAACAATGCAAAAATATTAAAATTTTTATAGGAAAAAAATTAGGGGGGTTCGTCCAGCATGAACCCAGGACCTCTTCTTTTGAAATAGCAACCACTGATTAATACCATATCCCTAAATCTCTATTTATATATGGAAATTCTAGTATGCATGTGGATTTGACATTAAAAAGACACCCAACAATGCAAAAATATTAAAATCTTTCTGGAAAAAAAAATTGGGGGCTCATCCGGGATAAGCCCAGAACCTCTACTTTGAAATGGCATGTTTTGAGTAATACTGTTTTACAAAAGCTTTATTGTATTTATATTTGGAACATCTAATTGTGCATGTTGATTTGACATTAAAAAGGCACCATCAATGCAAAAAAAAATATATATATATATTTATTAATTGTTATATGTAATATATAAAATATTTGGGTATATTAACATAAACTGGGGGCTCGTCTGGGATAAACACAGGACATCTCCCTTTGAAATGGCATGCTTTGAGTAATACTGTTTTACAAAAGCTTTACTTGTATTTATATTTAGAACATCTAATGTGCATGTTGATTTGACCTTAAAAAGTCACCCATCAATTCAAAAATATTGTGTATTTTATATGTATTAAATTTTTACATGTATTATTTTAAAAAATTAGGTACATTAACATAAACTGGGGGCTCGTCCGGAATGAACCCAGGACCTCTTATTTTGAGAAATATCTCAAAGTATAAATATTTATTAAATCCAAATCATATAAGAAATCAGTTACTAAGCAAACAATAAAATATGATATAAGTTTATATGTTTGGCTTCATGTAAACATTTGCACAATTAAGAACAATTTTGATTTGATAACTTTCTGAAAAGACATGCTTTGTTAGCTAGGAGTCCTTGATATAAAAAATGCATTGTGTAATTTATTTCAGTGTATTCCCGAATATTTATGTTTATTAGTAGACTCACGTGTTGAGTAGTGCTCGTAGTTTTGTACCAGATAGTCTTCAAACTCAGCTCTGATCTCACGATTCACCATGCCGGACTGAAACTTGATCACACTGCGAATGAAGCTTATGAAAACCTCCCATGCGTTTGCTTTCTAAAGAAATCAAGTCAGATGAGCTCAATACGTGCTTGTAATGGTCTGAGAATTACAGATGCTTTAAGTTTTGAAATATTTCACCAGTTTTCCCATCAGCAGAGGTCCTTTAATGTCCTCATCAGATTCAGAAGCATGTGGACAAACAGAAAATGTGTCCTGATACAGTCTGAACCTGTTAAAGATAAAAAGAAATGAAATGCTATTTGTTCTGTATGTTCAATGTAACACTAAAAAATGAGCACAGAGCATCTATAATATCTGTAATATCGTCCACAAAGCAGTGACTTTATTATAAAGAGCAGGTTAATCTCTGGCTTTTCAGATGTTTCTCCTAAACAACCCATAATTTCAAATGTGTTTCAAATAATCTTAAAATGTTTTTAAAAAGCCAACATTCACAATAATTTTTACTTTAGTGTTTATAATAATATAAATAATAAAAATAAATGTTAAAAAAATCTCTTTTTAAAGAGTTTTATTAAATATGTATATTTTTTTAAGGAATCACTTTATATTTGCAATATTTTATTTATGAAAGGCCATAATTTTATTTTATGAACTCACATAGATGTTTTTTCCACATTTTTCTCCTGCTTTTTAATGGACTTTGGCAGTTGTATGGCATTCTGAAGCGTATCCAGCCATGCACTATGTTAGAGAAGACATTTAATGGTTACATTATTTAGAATAAGATTAGTTCAAATTTAGATTTATTTAGATTACTAAGTAATAAATATATTGATATGTTAAATGTGGCGGCGACATGGTGGCTCAGTGGTTAGCACTGTGACCTCACAGCAAGAAGGTCACTGATTGGGTCAGTTAGCATTTCTGTCCCGTGTTAGCGTGGGTTTCCTCCGGGTGCTCCGGTTTCCCCCACAGTCCAAACATTTGCACTATAGGTGAATTGAGTAAACTAAAATACCCGGAGTGTATCAGTGTGTGTGTGAATGGGTGTTTCCCAGTACAGGTTGCAGCTAAAAGCTCTGCTGTGTAAAACATATACTAGAATAGTTGGTGGTTCATTCTGCTGTGGCAACCCCTGATGAATAAGACACTAAGCCAAATCAAAATGAATGAATGGGACCAATAAAACATAACATGCGGGGGCTCGTCCGGGATAAACACAAGACCTCTTGTGGTATTACTACTTTCCCAAAATTGTATCACAATACCATGTGGCCTCCAGGGATTTGGCAACCAGATGCTGGATGGTGTAGATGAGCTCTGGAAAAACTTTGTCCATCTGACTGACTCTGGTGATGATGTCAGCGCTGCACTGCAGGTAATCAGCTGCAGGGGGAGACATTGACATGCTTTTGCTTACTTATTTATTTTATTTGGAGCATGCAAAACCATTTTTAATGTGAAGGGAAGAGAATATTCCGGTCACCCTTGTGTCATTTCAATTCTGTTATTTATTTATTTATTTATTTATTTATTTATTTAACTACTTAATTTATTTTTACTCTCCTCAATTATACAGTAAGTCACCTTGGATGAAAGTGTCTGCTAAATGACTAAAGGTAAATGAGCATAAGCAGTACCAGGATCATCTCTGCGGAAGTATTTGTCAACAATGAGGCATATTTTGGCCTTCTGCCGCTTGTGTTCGATGCTGCGCAAAGCTTCTGCATCCTGGATAAAGAGCAGGGCTCCGTCTGCACCTTGAGTCTGCAGAAACTGCAGGAAGTGATTGAAGTACGTATGCGATGTTATGACCTCTTCAAACGACCTGCGGAAAATACAGACAGTACAGACTCTGCTCAAAAAAAAAAAAAAGTCACATTTATTTTCTTTTTTAAATATTTCCTAAATGGTGTTTTACAGATTCAGGAAATTTTCACAGTAGTTCCTATAATATTTTTTCTTCTGGAGAAAGTCTTATTTGTTTTATTTCGGCTAGAGTAAAAGCAGTTTTTAATTGTTTTAAACCCATTTTAGGTCAATATTATTAGCCCCCTTAAGCAATATTTGTTTTGGATTGTCTTCAGAACAAACCACTGTTATACAATGACTTGCCTAATTATCCTAACTTAACCTAATTAACCTAGCTAAGCCTTTATTTTATTTATTTATCAGGATTCCAATTAACCACTACCAAGGTAGTGGCTATTCTTCCTGGGGTCCATCGAACACAAAACAAAATGACATTAATACATAACAACAAAGACTAATAAAAATAAAACATAAAAACCCAAAATTCACACATAACATCCATATAAACAATCCCATTACTATTGTATCATTAAATATTTATTTAACAAATTTTTAAACCTCATTTTACTAGTTACAAAGCATGTAATGTCTGATGGCAATTCAATCCATGTTTTCATTCCTCTACCAGTGGTGGCCAACCCTGTTCCTGGAGAGCCACCTTCCTGCAGATTACAGCTGCAACCCATATCAAACACACCTGCCTGTAATTATCACGTGGTGTTCAGGTCCTAATTAATTGGTTCAGGTGTGTTTGATATGGGTAGCAACTGAAATCTGCAGGTGGGTGGCTCTCCAAGAACAGGGTTGGCCATCTCTGCTCTATTCACCTTATTCTCCGCCAACGAGCGGGCGCAGCCACTTGAATCTTTTTGGCTCGAGACTTCCGGACTCATTCACTTCCATTAATTTTTAGACATTAAAAACTGCAAACTGATATTTCCTCATTATATTATTCTACTTGGTCTGTATAGTCTTGCAAACATTTGTTTGTAGAGCAAGTAGTTTGACCGTTTTCTGCCGTTTATTATTCCTAGTCATTTCTCCCATAGGCGACTGAATCGGAAGTTCTAAGACAATCGCGAAACCAGGCGCACATTTTAAAATAAGATCAATACATTACAAGCGTTGCTTTGCATTCGTTTTTGAAACGGGAAGCAAAAAATGTCCTTTTAATGCATGCCTGATGTTTAAATTATGACTAGCATCCCTATTCAAAAGTTAACAGTACAATACACTTGGCACTCTTGACACAGAAATATTCCTTATGAAACATGACAGAGTAACAATTACCCTATCCTTCACCAATAACCAACCTAAAGTTGTATGCATTTTCATAATATTAACTCTTCTATTGCAGTGTAAAATGAGTCGTGCCGCTCTATTCTGGACTAACTGTCTTTACTTGATGCACTCGACCATACCACTGGATTGTAATCTAGATAAGAAAGAACAACTGCCTGAACAGATACAGTACTGTGGTAAAATTGTACACATCTCCTAATAATTGATGTGCTTTTAAGCTGAATTCTAGTGTCTTGTCTTGAAGAATATCTAGGCAAATATTATGTGCTGTCATCATGGCAAAGATCTGTTATTAAAAATGAGTAATTAAAACTTTTATGTTTAGAAATGTTGAAATAAATCTTCATATTGTATATACAGGAGGGAGTATTTGAACTCTCAGTAATGATTTTAAATCACACTGAACTGAGCTAAACTGAACTGAACTTAAACACTAAAAACTGAACCACACTGTTCCAGTTACTATGACCATTTATGTGAAGCTGCTTTGACACAATCTACATTGTAAAAGCGCTATACAAATAAAGCTGAATTGAATTGAGGGCTAATAATTATAATAATTCAGACTTCAACTGTGCATCCTGAGATCATTAATATGAATTTACAAATAGTCTTTCCACAAACTTGCCTTTACTCATCTTTCCACATGACAATCTCCACTTATACTTGAGATTAGGGAATGGTGATAAAAGTGAACCTGGGTTTTGTGGTTGGCTTTTCATTAAAAATGTTGTCCTTCTTATATGTTTTGATCTGGACCTCGGGAACTGTGGTTTTAGATTTGGGAGGATCTGGATGAGGAGAATACAGTAAAGTACATGGCTCAAAGATGAAACAATCAATTGTAATACAGCATTATTTTCCTTCAACTTAGTCTCTGATTTACCACAGCAGAATGAACTGCCAGCTATTCTGTTTTATGCAGTGGACGCCACTCCAGCTGCAACCCAGTACTGGGAAACACCCATACACACTTAGTCTCTCTCACTCACACACAACAACCAATTTAGTTCATCCTATTCCCCTATAGCGCATGTGTTTTGACTGAGGGGGAAACCGGAGCACCCGGAGGAAACCCACGTTAACACGGGGAGAGCATGCAAACTCCACACAGAAATGCCAAATGACCCAGCCAGGACTTGAACCAGCGACTTTCTTGCTGTGAGAGGACAGTGCTAACCACTGAGCCACTGTAATAATACTATTTCAAAATTGTAAATAAACAAATATTATTAGAGAATGTTTTGGGTTTCGCGGTGGCGGAGTGGGTGGATGATTGCCTCACAATAAGAAGGTCGCTGGTTCAATACTCGTCAGGGTCAGTTGACAATTCTGTGTGGAGTTTGCATGTTCTACAGGTGAATTGAGTAGGCTAAATTGTCCATAGTGTGTGTGTGTGTGTGTTTGTGTGAATGAGTCTGTATGGATATTTCCCAGTGATGGGTTGCAGCTGGAAGTGCATCCGCTGCGTGAAACATATGGTGGAAAAGTTGGCGGTTGATTCCGCTGTGGCAATCCTAGAATAATAAAGCGACTAAGCCGAAAAGAAAATGAATTAATGAATGTTTTACAAGAAAACTTCATGTGAAATCGGGTGTGCCAGTGTGACACTTTACCCTGAGCCGGTTGTGTTGTGTCAGTCATTGATGCGGGTTTGGGCTCCTCGGGTGCGTCTGCTGAATAAAAACACGGTCATTATTTTGAGACAGTCAGGATGAAAACGAGGCCTGCTTTTTGTGGGTGTTCTCTCACCGGTTGTGTTGTACTTGTGCAGAAGTGATCCTCCTCTGTGCGGATCCTGAAGAGCCACTAAAGTCCAGCTGTCGTGATTCAGATCTGCAGGATCGAGACGAGCGCAGCATCCTTCACACAACATTAGCGCCTCGGTCTGAGCCAACAGAGCATCTGTTTCAGTCCCGAAACTAGAAAACAGCAGCGGCACAGAGTCTTCAAGCCCATTGCCGTCTGAACTCTGAGAAACAAAACACACATGATGATGAGAACTGGAGAAAAATCGGCCACCGCACTATAAAAAATGTTTTACATATTTTGTTATTCATGTTATTGGTTTTTTGGTTTTTATTTATGCTTTTGGCCTCTATTTTGACGGTCCATGCGCAGAGTGCAAAACGCAGGGCACAAACGCTTGTCAGAACGCATATTTGCTAATTTACGGACGGGAAAATGCGCTTTGCGCCGTGGCGCATGGTCTAAAAGGGTTGAGTTTATTTTCTTAATGAGTTATAGGTGTGTTTTGAGAATAAACCAATCAGAGTCTCATCTCCCATTCCCTTTAAGAGTCAGCTGCGTCACGCCAAGAGCGCATTCGCTATTTACAGGACGCAAAGTAAGTCTAAGTGGAAAAACTGAGCATTTCACTAGCAAACAGTTCACAGTTGACAGAAAATTGTTAAACAGAGCATCTACTGCGTGAGAATGAGAGAAAATGGATCTACTTTCATTTTCGCTCTTGGATAGGGAAACCTTTACACACAGACATCAATTAGTCTATAAATAATTAATTTCGTTTGTTAAGCGCAAAGATTTGTTTCAAAACTATTTCTAAATTCAGTTCTAATTTCTAGCAAACGAATAAATGAACAATATTAACTAAGTGTGTTCAAAAACCTGAGTTATATCCTAAAACACATGCTGTGCCCCATAGGGTCTAAAACCTGACAGGTGGGCAAATCTAAGCTTGTTTTTAATAAAACAAATATAAATATGGATATAATAAATAATACTGCTAATAATAATAACATTATACAAAAGCAAATTGTTATGAATGAACTGAAAAAGCCTCCCGAGATGAAGAAGAGATAAAAGCAGTGATTTTTCATATTTATGTAGGCTAGAAAATAATATGTTTTGTAATATTTTAATCCTTTATATTTATATCCTATATCTATTCTTATTATAAAAATCTTACTATTTAAATTTTTTCATATGTAAAGATATTTGCGTATTGCTCTCTTGTGTGTATTAAGCAGTGTGTAAGTGAGGCGCAACTCTGCGCCGGAGTTTAGACCGGGTTTGTTTTGGTGTAAAGAAAAATCTATTTTAGTTTCTCAAAATAGCGACGCGCCAGCGGTCCGCCTCAGAACGCCTTCGGTTTTAGACCAGAACACCTATGGGTGCACATATGAGCGCTAATGCATTTGCTATTTAAACAGCGTAGCGCAACACCTCAAAACGACTCTTGCGCCAAGCTGAAACTACCAAACAAGTATTGCGCCGCGCCTTGCTCCACATTGCGCCGGGTGTATGATAGGGCCCTTTGAGTTGGATTATGAAACCTTGATTTTTCGTCAACTTTTAACCTTGAAAACTAAAAAAAAACATTAAACATTATTAATAGTGTAAAATGCTATATCGTCTGGGTTCATACAAAAAAACCTTTGCAATAAACTGCCACTACATTTTCTGTTATTTTATAGACTTATTTATCTATGTATTAGTTCCTATACATAATAATAATAATAATTCCTTACATTTATATAGCACTTTTCTGGGCACTCAAAGCGCTTTACACACGACAGGAATCTCCTCATCCACCAGCAGTGGGCAGCATCCACCTGGATGACACAACAGCAGCCATATTGTGCCAGACCACACAACACACACCAGCTGACTGGTGGAGAGGAGACAGAGTAATGAAGCCAATAATGATATGGGGAGGGTTGGGAGGCCATGATGGACAGAGGTCACTGGGCAGAATTGGCCAGGATGCCGGGGTTAAACCCCTACTCGTTTTCGCAGGACATCCTGGGCTTAATAATGACCAGAGAGAGTCAGGACCTCGGTTTAACGTCTCACTTGAAAGACAGCGCTTACTGAGCTGTATAGAGTCCCCGTCGCTATACTGGGGCATTAGGACCCACACAGACCGCAGGTTGGGCGCCCCCTGCTGGCCACACTAACACCACTTCCGGCAGCAACCTAGCTTTCCCATGTGGTCTCCCATCCAGGTACTGATCTGGCGCAGCCCTGCTTAGCTTCAGTGGGTGAACATGTGAGAGTTGCAGAGAGCTAGCTGCCGGATATTATATTATATTATATTATATTATATTATATTATATTATATTATATTATATTATATTATATTATATTATATTATATTATATTATATTATATTATATTATATTGTACTATATTATATTATTATATTGTATTATATTATATTATATTATATTATATTATATTATATTATATTATATTATTATATTGTACTATATACTATTATATTATATTATTATATTGTACTATATTATATTGTATTATATTATACTATATTATTATATTATACTATATTATATTATATTATATTATATTATATTATATTATATTATATTATATTATATTATATTATATTATATTATATTATATTATATTATATTATATTGTTATTTCAAAGTACTAAAAGGTAGTAAATCATGAGATAATTTAGATTTGTGTGTGAACTAACCCTTTCATGAGCATAACTCACCAGCAGAGACAGCAGAGCTTCATCATCTGCATCTAAAAATGAGTTATAAACCTCCCGGAGCTCCTGTAAACAGAACAAACAACACATCTTCACAGTTACAGAGTACTCTACAGTTTACATTTCTGCTTCATTCATTTGATCAAAATTACAGTATAAAATGTGTAAATATTATTATGATTTAAAGTAATGTTTTCTGTTTAAATATACAGCAAAATGTAATTTATTTATATGATTGTAAGCTGAATTGTCAGCATTTCTCTAGTGTCACATGATCTTCTAGAAATCATGAGGATTTTATGATCATATTTGTAAACCGTCTTTTAAAAAAATATTTGAAAGCGTATGAATGATGAGAGCATTGAATGTTTCAATTTTAAGAAATATTTATTCTTTATTATCAGTTACATTTTTAGTTTTAAGATATTATTCTATATATTGTATTATGTTTTATTAGCTTTTTTGTATTAATATTGGATTATTTTTATTGCTTTCATTTTGGCATTATCTAATTTCATTTAATGCAAGTTCAATATACTGATCTCCTACTTTCACTGTTAATATTTTTATTATCTTTATAGTTTTTAATGCTAACATTTTTTAGTTATTTAAAACAACGAGTAAAGAAATAAACAAGCAATACTTCCTAGGTAAATTTTCTTTTTTTTCTTTTTTTATTATAAATTATATATTTTTTATTTTATTTATAATAACCCTAATCATGTTTTTTTAAGCAAATTTCCCTCACAGTGCAAAGACATCCAGTATAGAGTAAGTGTGTGTAAAACATGTGCCAGAGTAATGGGTGGTTCGTTCCACTGTGGTCACAGAAAATAATTATTTTAGAAGACAAGGTTTTTATCAGAATTTAAAGCAAGCTTTATTTCAGCATGAGGTATTTACAACTTAAATTCATTATTTTCATAATGTATTATTTTAGACTATATTTATATGTATTATTTAGGACTATATTATTTAACAATACTTAATGTTTTATTTAAGTATTGCAGAGATACTTTTGTAATTTAAAGGTGACTTTTTTGTAAGATATTTTTACATCTATATTCATTTTCTAATTTTCCTTCTCTTATTTATCAGAGATCGCCACAGCGGAATGAACCACCAACTATTCCAGCATATGTTTTTACACATGGATGCCCTTCCAGCCACAACCCAGTACTAGGAAACACTCATGTACACACAAACTCATACACTACGGCCAATTTAGTCTAGTTCAGGGGTCACCAACCCTGTTCCTGGAGGGCTACCTTCCTGCAGAATTCAGTCCCAACCCTGATCAAACACACCTGAACCAATTAATAGGACCTAAAGCAGCCCTTGATAATTACAAACAGGTGTGTTTGGTCAGGGTTGCAACTAAAATCTGCAGGAAGGTAGCCCTCCAGGAACAGGGTTGGTGACCCCTGGTCTAGTTCATTCAACTACACTGCTTGTGTTTGGACTGTGGGGGAAACCAGAGCACCCAGATGAAACCCATGCCAATACAGGGAGAACATGCAAACTCCACACAGAAATGCCAACTTTCCCAGCTAGGACTCGAACCAGCGACCTTCTTGCTGTAAAGCGACTAACCACTGAGCCACCATGTCACCAGTATGACATTTTTACAACTTATTTACCATTCTGACCTTCATTTGAGCATTGCTTAGATACTTTTGTAATTTAGACTGAAGTTTTTAACATCTCTATATAGTTTGTAATGATATTTATTGTCATAAGCTTCATGAAAATAAGTCATTGTCCGCTAGCCAAAAGCCTGTTTAGTCTTTTACCTTGCATAAGTGATATTTGGCCTTGTAAATCCACGGCAGAGCTGCACTGGAGGGCAGAAGCGAGGACAGATTTTGTCTAATCTCTGCATCCAGATGTCTAATAAAGCGTGGCTTGTTTTCCTTCAGGTACGTCTCTGTGATCCGCCGAGCTGCTGTCTGTCTTAGTGCACAGACTGGATCTTCACCCTGTGCTTTCAGAAGCAGCAGAAGAAAGAAATCCAGATCTTCCAACAAATCCAGCATCAGCCGTTCCTCCAGCAGCTCCCGGGCTCCCAGGAAATACCTAAAGGGCCCTCCGGAAAGACCCTCGGCGGATAGAGCCGGCTGGAGAAACTGGATATCTGACGGAGGTGAATTAATATCAACACAAAAGGGAATCTGACAAGCTGGAGTCTGGATGCATGTGTGATGAATATTAGCATCATCATCACTCTCTATAGCTGCTTTGTTTTTAGTCTCCTCTGGAGGATGTGCCACATTTGAACACTGTAAATTAGTCTGAGCGGATGGTGGAAGCCATAAACAGATGCTTTTAGACTGGTGTGTGTTTTTGGGTTTGTGTTGTGAACTCCACAGATGTCGTTTGCTGCGCTTGCTGTCGTAGGATCTCGCTGGATGGACTGTAAAATCTGGGTCTTTCTGTTTGCGCTCTGTTGAGGAAGGTGATCGAGATGATGGGGAGCAAATGGAGATGTATTTTTCTACAACAGGTCGACATTCGGGTATTCGCCACATGCTGGATTTACAGCAGTGTAAGAAGTGAGGAAGCCAATAGGACTGGAGCTGATTCAAAGCGCTCGTTCTCATCTCTGCCAAAACTCTCTTCTGGGAAATCAGAGGACAGTCTCTCGATAGGAGAGCAGTCACGTCATCTATAAATAATAGTAATAATAATAATAAAAAAAGGTTTCATTTATTATTAGAAGAAGAACAAAATGCACACCAAATGTCATTTTCTACAAGCAGAAGAGCTGAAATAGTGTACGATATTAAAGGGAAGAGAAACATACACCGTCTGATCGCTGTGTGAAGTGCTTGACGATTCAATGTCTGAAACGCTTCTTCAGTTTCTTCTTCCTTTATCCTCAAGATCATGGATGCTCTCACGCAGAACAGAAGAAGCTCCTCTTCTGCTTTAAAACACAGACAGCGCAGTGAATTGTTAAGATCATTTCAGCATCAATTCAGGCAAACTCAATACAAGAACTGTAAATCTGAGTCTAATTTAATGGATTGTCCCATGAAGTGCTTTAAAATGTGACATAATTTAGACTGAAACATAAAGAGAGGGAGGGGCATAGAGTAGCTCCTCCCCCTTTAAAAATAAACAGCCAATAATGTTTTATCACAGCTCTGTCAGGGAGTGGTTAAGATCAAGTGTATTTAGCAATAGGGGGTGGGGCATGTCAGATACTAGAGAGCATTTGATTGGTCAGAAGATTTGATGAGAGACGCAAGTATGAAAAAAAATCATTGATTTATTTAAGTGGAAGTGACAAGCTGCAAGCTTTGGGGGTTTATTTCTTCTGATTGCTAATTTTGTTACCGTTTTGGAGCACACTAGCTTTTAGATACCCTTAAGACTAACTTACTGATTCTCACATCTAAAAAAAACTTTATTATGATTTTACGGGGACTTTAAAGGGTCACCAAACCTTAAAACACATGACACTGGATGCAACATTGGAGTCATTTGATGTAAAATGAATGTATAATTTCAGATTCACACCATCAGAGCTCTTGAGAAATGAGCGAAGTCTCTGGATTCCCCTCACACTGCCCAGACATTTCCTCACAAGCCACTGATCTGCTGGAGTCCATTTCAAATCCACTGGAAGACAGGGAATGTGTATTATGCTGCATTGTAAAAGGATAGCTCACCCAAAGATAAGATTCTGCCATTATTTATTCACACTCACTTTGATCCAATCCTGAAACTACACGTTTAATGCACACCAATACATGTGGAGTTCAATTACAGCCACAATAAAAATGACTATCCGGGGTGGGGGGTTGGTTTCGCCACAGCGGAATGAACCGCCAACTTATCCAGCAAGTTTTTACACAGCGGATGCCTTTCCAGCCGCAACCCATCTCTGGGAAACATCCACACACATTCACACACACAACCATACACTACGGACAATTTAGCCTACCCAATTCACCTGTACCGCATGTCTTTGTCGCCACAGCGGAATGAACCGCCAACTTATCCAGCAAGTTTTTACACAGCGGATGCCCTTACCGCATCCCTAGTAGCAAATAATTCTGGCCCAGATTTGGCAAAAAGCTGGCACAGCAGGCATTCATCCGGCACTGGCATACAGCATGTGGGCCAAACATGGCCCGGGTTTGGCAGAGGTGGCACCGTTTTTAAGGCGGCACACAAGATTTGGGCCAGATGAAAAACGTAGTATTTGGCCCAGATTTAAAAATTTGATAAGTGGGCCATGTGAGTTTGGCCAGTCTTGACCCACATTTAAAATACACTAAAATCATTTTTGAGTAAAGAAAAAAAATCTACCAATCAGGTCACTTTGAGAAAAAGCGTGCCCATAGTGGGCCTAAAGAGCATCACTCCATGGGTTTATCAATTTCATTGCAATCGTGACACACCAACCTATCTGGCCCAGTTCAGGCCCAGTTATGAGTTATTAACTTGGCTGAGACTTGGCCCAGATATGGTCCGTGCTTGGCTCTTGTCTGGAAGACAGATTTGGTCCAGTCATGTACCGTAATTCACTGCGGCATGTGGGCCAAGCAAAACCTGATTGTGTGGGCCAGAGCTGGGCCAGAGAAACTTTGCTATGTGGGATGTCTTTGGACTGTGGGGGAAACCGGAGCACCCGGGGGAAACCCACGCGAAGGCAGAGAAAACATGCAAACTCCACACAGAAACGCCAACTGAGCCGAGGTTCGAACCAGCGACCCAGCGACCTTCTTGCTGTGAGGCGACAGCACTACCTACTGCGCCACTGCCTCGCCTAAAAATGACTATAGTAATTTACAGTGTTTTGAAACCTTACTATAGTGAAGTGTAGTACTGTATATTCATTGTTATTTAATTATAACACTTTGTTAAAGTCTGTAAGAACTGAAAGTTGATATATTGATGTACTTCCAACTGAACAGAATATTGAGTAGGTGCCAGGGTTTTCTATTTCCACATCATTCCCTCATAGCACACTAATGGTATAAGGAGCATGGTTAATAACATTAACATACACTTGCTATGGAAGCCATCAAGTGCTCGTCAAGTGCCAAAATCTGATACCAAAATTGTTTTTCAGTGGATACATTTATACATTTTTATATATATATTTTTTTATACACATCATTGTATGATGTATCTATTGCAGTGGCCATCTTTGCACACAAGACGACATATTCACTGGCTTCAATTCATATTTAAATGTATTCATTTTAAATATCCTAATTTATTTACAACAATATTTTCTACTTTTTTCTTAAATTATCAAAACATTCTGTTCAGACTTATTTTTTGCTCCTCATTTAAAAAAATCTTTTGGTGAAAAGCTTTTATTTTTAAGTGTCCAATAGACTGGAATAATTTACATGCTAAGATTTGATCTAAGGCATCATTTAAGGTGTTTAAGCAAACTTTGCTGTCATATTTTAATTTAGACTGAACTTGACTGGATGTTGTTTATGTGGTGCTTTGATACACCGATCTGTACATCCTTTTGTACTTTGTAGATGTATACTACTTCACCTTTTGTTAATGTTTGTCTTATTGTTTATTGTTGTTTTTGATGTTGTGTAATTTATGTTTTGTTTTTGTCCTCTTGTGTTATTATTATTATTATTATTATTATTACTACTACTATTATTATTATTATGTGGTTGTGATTAAATGTGGGACCCCCTTGAAAATGAGTTGGTATATCTCAAGAAGTTTATCCTAATGGATAAATATCCAGTGAACAAAGAATAATTATTTACCTTAAGAATAACAATGTGAGCTAACAAAATAAAGATTTTAAGTTTTGATTTCACATGAACTTGCTACAGCATATTAACATTATCTATTGTGAATTAATAAACGGTAATAAATAATGTAGTATACTTTAGTTTTTACTACAGTAAACTGTGTTGTATTGTAATGTACAAATAGTTGTCAAAAACTTACTGGTACAGGATTGGATAATTTATATTACTGTGTTATCTTAGAAACTACAGAATTACCACAACAGATAAGTTCATGTACTTTACTATAGTATGGTTTAACAGCACTGTAGTATTTACTATATTTGATATATGGCCCAAGTCTTGTGTGCCACCTTAAACATGGTGCCAACTCTGCCAAACCCGGGCCATGTTTGGCCCACATGCTGTATGCCAGTGCCGGCAGATGCCTGTTGTGCCAGCTTTATGCCAAATCTAGGCCAGAGTTCCTTGCTACCTGGGGTGAATGGGTCAACTAATCCTAAAAAAAAACTTACATTGTATTATCATAAGAATATATTACCTGTGGATTTACAGGACACAAAGTCAAGGATCTCTGTACAGAGAAGGAAAAAGTGATAGAGCTCAGTTCGTCTGAAGAAAACCATCCGATGCATCTCTAACCATTTCAGAAACTCTCCAGTGTTCACCTGACAGCAAATATATCACAGATATTACATATGTTTTTGTCGATAAACTGTAGTAAATATACAGAAATAACCTTCTACCTGAGTGAAGGGCACATTGGGCCACATTAACCACTTGTTTTGGTTCATCATGTAGAGCGGAGTTTGACCAAACACCTGAAAACACCACAAAATACAAGATCAGCCCTAGATAATCTGAGAGGACATGAGTAAACATGAGGTTTTATCTTACTGGAAGACTTAAATATGTATTGAAGAAATCCACAAACACTTCATCGTTCAGGAGAATCTCGAGTCCCATCTTCATTTTCTCTGCAAATACGAGTTTATAAATCATTAAATGACCACTTTGATACAGACTTGCAAGATTTACATTACCTGTAACTCATATATATTGTATTGTACTGTTTTAAACAAGATGGGAGTACAAGTAAGGTTTAATTAATGTGACAGCTCTGTCCTATGATCTGCTATTGTCAATTCTAAATACAAACGATAGTTTTCTGTTGCCTTGACAACGCAATTATTTACTTAATTTATGTGAGGAATCGTTTATTTATTTTATATTGTGTATACAAATACAACACGGTATGTTTATGTGGCACTTCGGCACTACTCATTGCTGTTGTGAACTTATTTTTTAGTTATGCTAACGTCAATTATAATACTTTTATAGCATTGTTATTATTTATGGTCATGTTTAAATATTTTAAATACTAGTTAATAATAAGGATTAATACTATTATGTATCGATTATTACGATGAGGAGGAGGAGGATGGTGGCGGAGAAGAGCGAACACGTGTGTCGTCATATCCGGTCGCGGCCTCCGCAGAGTCTTCCTCATCCTCGGAGGAGTCTGTCAGCAAGCAGCGGGGCGAGGAGCGAATTAAACATCATTTCTGCAACCGAAGACCGAATTAAACTAAATTCTCGCATTTAGAAATCGAAGTGAACGTCTTCACGCTGTGAATGGATCATGGAGTGTGTAAGTAGTGCAAGTTTAAACTGACTTCAGGAGACAGAAGAGTTGATCTGACAGACAGCGGAGAGACGTTTAAACTAATGGCGGTTCATGTTCAACGTTAACTGTGTTATGATATGCAAAAATGGCTAATATCTGATAAAATGTTGATATAGAGAGCTTTAAGTGTCATTAGGGTGACTGCTGTGACCTGTAGTGTTTCCCATTCAAATGAAGCCAGTTGTACTTTGCCTCCGGTTACGATCAGTGTTCTGCTAGTTAAGTTAACTGCATTAAGGCAACCTTAAAGTTGGTTTTACATTCACACATTCCGACTTTCTCCTTAATAATATAGTTTCAGAAAGATATTCTTTGCAAATTCTAAATAGTGAAATCATATTAGCTGCCAGTGACTATCAAAGTACTCAAATAAATAGTGCTAATGTTGTTTTGAAGTTATACTTGCATGAGATTTCAGACCGAATATTCAAAGTACCATGGTAAACAATATAGGACGCCTGTCACAAGTTGTCACTGAACGAATGTGCGAATATAAAACCAACTTTACCTCAATGTTGACTGTCTTTATACTAGTATTACATACTGTGCGTAAGTGTGCATTGTGTATAAGTTTACTGCTTTAAGCAACTATATGAAAACTCAAATTTACTCCAGCACTGGGTTATTACACTGTCGTACCATGTTAATAAGCTTACTGCATTATTCTACTGAATATATTGTAACATTTGCATAACTGTACTGTCGTTCTTCGTTAGTTTTTCCTCTGTTTACAGTACTAATGTAACAGATTTACTTGTGCTGCTGTAATATAGCATAAATTTACTCTAGTAGTTGACTGTTGTTACACTAGTACTGTTATTATATTCACTGGTGTACTGTGATATTCAATAATATTACTACTTAGTGTATTTTACTGCTGTTGCACTGGTACTGTTATCAAATTTACTGCTATACTGTAATATTTAATAAATCCACACTATTACTTGTGTACTGCTGTTACCTCTAGTACTGTTATTAAATGTATTGCTATACTGTAATATTAAATAATAATAGAGTATTTGTACTGATGTTACAGTAGTACTGTTATTAAATTTACTGCAATACTGTAATATTAAATTATATTACTTTAGTATTTTTACTGCTGTTACACTAGGAGTGCTCTTATCAAATGTAATGCTATACTGTAATATTTAATAAATCCACACTATTACTTGTGTACTGCTGTTACCTCTAGTACTGTTATTAAATGTATTACTATATTGTAATATTAAATAATAATAATTGAGTATTTTTACTGATGTTACAGTAGTACTGTTATCAAATTTACTGCTATACTGTAATATTTAATACATTTACACTAGTACTTCGTTTACTGCTGTTACCTCTAGTACTGTTATTAAATTTAATATTAAATTAATAAATTAATATTAATGTAATATTAAATAAAAAAAATTAATTAATATAACTGTAATGTTAAATAATATCACTAGTATGTTACTGCTGTTACAGTAGTACTGTTATCAAATTTAAACTAGTACTTTGTTGACTGCTGTTATTCTTGTACAGTTATAATATTTACTGCTATACTGTAATATTAAGTAATATTACTACTTAGTTTTTACTGCTGTTACACTAGTACTGTTCTCAAGTTTACTGCTATACTGTAATATGAATTAAATGTACACTATTAATTTGTTTACTGCTGTTACACTATTACTGTTAAGAGATGTAATTTTATACAATAATATTAAATAAATGTACTTGGTTTACAACAGTTACGTACTGTTATCAAGCTTATGCATTAACTTTAATGCTGCACAGATTTACTCTAATATTTTGTTAGTTTACTGCTGTTTACTATGTTAACAGATTTACTGCTATAAACTGTATTATTGCATACATTTACTCTAGTACTTGTTTTACTGCTGGTATACTATTACTATGTTTACATATTTACTGCTATACTGTAATATTGCACAATTTCACACTAATATTGTTAACCAATTTACTTGTATCTTGTAATATGGCATAAATTTACTTAGTTTACAACTGTTACACAAGTACTGTTAACAAATAAACTGTAATGTTGCACAGATTTACTCTAGTACTTCATTCGTTTTTACGGCTGTTAAACTACTGTCAACAAATGTACTGGTATGCTTTAATAATACACTTATTTACACTAGTATTTTGTTTAATGCTGTTGTGCTAGTCATGTTAATAGAATTCCTTAATCAGATTTACTTTTCATCCTGTAAATTGCATTTAGTTTGCTCTAGTATTTTATTATACTGTTTAAAACAAGTACAGTGGCAAATAGTTATCTGCATATAATTAAATGTTCCGCAAATTTATTCTGGTACTAAACTGGCTTGATCTTATTGGCTTTTTGTCGCTGTAGTAATTTGCTGTTATATTTTAGTGATGTAATTATTAGATAAGTTCACTAGTGATGCGCTTGATTTACTGAGTTACTGTTTAATTGGTTCTCAGTTATTAATTAATAGTGAAAGCAAAGCAGAAAACTAATCCACAAAGAAACATTAACATTTAATGCAGTCATGCAGTTAGATTTATATGATAACACATAATGTATTCAAACTTGATTTAATCAGAATTATTGCATTTATTTGAGAAAACAAGCAAGTTTTAATAATGTATTCTTCTTGACATCTGTTTTTCAGCTTCCTGCTGTTCTAGATGATTTGGATTGTAAAAAGGAGGCGCACATAGAGGGTAAGAATGTGAATAAATAAAGACGAGACTGTAGTTCTGCGATGACCTGCAGCTCATGTGTGTGAGATCTGATGGCCGAGCGGAGCAGTGTTTTGATTTCAGTGTTTGCTATGAAATGTGAGACTAAAGGGACAACAGAAATATTATCCAGTGCCGGCATGTTCCATGACACTTTTTGTCTCATGTTTTTATTAGTTGTGTACTTAATGCATGTTCATCTGATGTTTCACAAGGATTTCCACAGGGTCTAAAAATAATATTGTCTTGTATTGTTTTAAATCATTTTAAAAGTTCTTAAACTCCCTATATCCACGTAAAGCTACCCAATCAAGCCAAAACCCATTGAATCACCAATAATCCATCTTAAAAAAAGCTTTTAACAAACTCTACTTATAACATATTTATTAATGTGGTTTAATTAGGTTACTTACAATAACTTTTGTTTAAAATCTCTCCACGTATTTATAGACTACATATGTTTGTTTTTCACTTAAAGAGAAGTTATGTTGAAAAAAATATCTGATACATAATAGGTGGGTTAAGTAAACACTTTTTTTGGACCAACTGGATTATTAGAAGAAAAAAAATCCTTAGTATTTAGCCCTTTATAATTCTCAAATTTCATTCATAATGGTCTTAATCTTAAATTAAACTTTGTGAAACCTGCTGAAACCATGTTTACTTTGTGTATGTTAGAGCAATAAAATAGTCTTTTTTTTATTTCTCTCAAACTAGATCCTGAATTTAATGTGTACACCCGCTTCATGAAGTCCCACCGCTGCTATGATCTGGTACCAACTAGTTCCAAATTAGTGGTGTTTGACACTTCTCTCCAGGTAGGTGCACACAAGATGACCAAATGTTACATGCGCAACTTCGTTATGTAAATATATGTGATAAGTTTCTGTGTGAAACAAGAAAAAAATGTAGACATAACCTGATTGTGCAGATCATTAATGAGTTAGAAAATGTCAAGTGGCTGTTCCATACCAAAATACAGCAGGACAGAATGTGCATTTGAAAATATTTAAAATGAAAACGCTAAAAAATAAATCACTTTGCCTGTTCACTACTTTATATTTATATAAGCAATGTTATTATGATTAACTAAAATCATAAAACTTTTGTTACTTAAAATAAAATAGAGGTGATTGAAATTAAGTAAAATAGGAATTAAAATTATATGCATTTAAAATGCATGTTTTATTTAATAATTAAATATATAATTATCTTATAAAAAACATAATTATACGCATATTTTGCTTATTTTTTGAGTTAACTACAGACATAAAAAAGTAAGTTCTTTAAGAGGACGAACAAGATATGTTTGATCATTTTATTTAAAAAATATACAGTTGAAGTCAGAATCCCCCTTTTAATTGTTTTCTTATTTTTAAAATATTTTCCAAATGATGTTTAACAGAGCAAGGAAATTTTCACAGTATGTCTGATAATATTTTTTCTTCTGGATAAAGTCTTATTTGTTTTATTTCGGCTAGAATAAAAGCAGTTTTAATTTTTTAAACACTATTTTAGGGACAATATTATTAGCCCCTTTAAGCTATATTTTTCTTGATAATGTACAGAACAAACCACTGTTATACAATAACTTGCCTAATTACCCTAACCTGCCTAGTTAACCTAATTAACCTAGTTAAGCCTTTAAATGTCACTTTAAAATGTATAGAAGTGTCTTGAAGAATATCTAGTCAAATATTATTTACTGTCATCATGGCAAAGATAAAATAAATCAGTTATTAGAAATGAGTTATTAAAACTATTATGATTAGAAATGTGATGAAAAAAAATCTCTTTGTTAAACAGAAATCGGGGAAAAAAATAAACAAGTAGTTTAATAATTCAGGGGGGCTAATAATTCTGACTTCAACTGTATATTACATATAATGTTTATTTGCAATAACGTAAACCACTGAGTCGTATTTTAAGAGTAGATGCTTGCATTAAGAAATGGGGTCAGCTAAGGGTCATCAGTGACTTCATGTTGACTTTAGAGGCTGGATATATTTGCTCTGTATTTGTGTTAACATTTATGACGTTTAAATGCTTGCTGGTTGACTGGTGGTTGTATGGTTGCCAGGTGAAGAAAGCATTCTTTGCTCTCGTGTCTAATGGTGTGAGAGCAGCGCCGCTGTGGGACAGCAAGAAACAATGCTTTGTTGGTAAGCAAGCTCTAATTTGTTGAATGTTCTGTGGATGTTTAATTACATAAATAGGCTTTTGCAAAATATTTAACTAGTGTGATGCAATATATCAAGGCTTGAGCATTGAGTTTCATTATTATTATTATCATTATTATTATTGTTATTATTATTATAGCAGTTTTTCTTGCACTCAAATCAGCATCTTAAAACTGAAGAATCTGAATTCTAAAGAATCATGTGACTCTGAAGAATGGAGTAAGGATTCTGGATTTTCTTTAAATCACAGAACTAAATTATATTACTAAACAGTTATTATAAATTGTAATAATGTTCCTAATTTTACTGTTGTTTTTATTTTGGTGATCGTAAGCTCTTTTAATTTTATAGCCATTTCAGCTTCTATGGCTATGTCATGGCAAAAGAAAAACAGATCAAGTTTACCACATTTTATAAATACCAATTTTCTGTAATTATAAAAATATTCTAACAATTAAATGTCATCAACAGCAATAAATAATATACAAGGTAAAATACATAAATGATAATATATAAGATAAAAATCTAAAACAGTTTTTTGTTGAGCGTAAGAGACTCTTATGCTCATCAAAGAAATGATCATTTTACAGACCCCAAACTGTGGGCCATAATACACAATGGCAGATTATTATGATAAAAAAAATAATAATTATTTACACTTGTTAGCTGTTAATTGTACTAATAGTTCTGATTTAAGTTATCTCTTTCTCTTTTTTATTATTTGTAGGTATGCTGACCATCACCGATTTCATCAATATACTTCATCGCTATTACAAATCTCCACTGGTAAAATCCTCTCCTTGCCGCTCACTGTATTTATCTCATTTTAAGGATTATTAAATGTTTTTATTTATTTTAGGTCCAGATATACGAGTTAGAAGAGCACAAAATAGAGACCTGGAGAGGTGAGAAGGTTAATCTGTGTATTATTGATGTAAATAGTCTGATGTTTGCATGTACGACTGATCTGTTTTTTTCTCTTCTTCTTTTTTTCTTATAGAGGTTTACTTACAAGATTCCTTTAAGCCTCTAGTGAGCATATCACCCAATGCCAGGTAGGAGTTTCATTGGTGCAGATCAGATGATATAGCTGAATTATTAGCCTCCTGTATATTTTTTTTCCTCAATTATTCTTTAATGGAGAGAAGATTTTTTACACATTTCTAAACATGATAGTTTTAATCACTCATTTCTAATAACTGATTACTTTTATCTTTGCCATGATGACAGTAAATAATATTTGATATTTTTCAAGATACTAGTGTTCAGTTTAGTGACATTTAAAGGCTTTACTAGGTTATTAAGTTTAAGTTAGGGTAATTAGGCAAGTCAGTGTATAATGATGATGGTCTATTCTGTAGGCAATCGAAAAAATATTATTGCTTAAAGGGGCTAATAATTTTGACCTTAAAATTTTGACCTTTTTTAAATTAAGAACTGCTTTTATTCCTGCCGAAATAAAACAAATAAGACTGTCTACAAAAGAAAAAATATTATAGGAAATACTGTGAAAAATCACTTGCTTTGTTAGCATGAGGGCGAATAATTTTGACTTCAACTGTATTTGTTTATTATTATTATTAGTAGTAGTAGTAGTAGTATTCATTTATTTTTGAAATCTGATGTCTTATTTCTCCCTCTCTCAGCCTATATGATGCAGTTTCATCTCTACTAAAGCATAAGATCCACAGATTACCCGTCATCGATCCTCTAACGGGAAACGCTCTCTACATCCTTACGCACAAGAGGATCCTCAAATTCCTCAAACTCTTTGTAAGTTCCCTGCTTTGTAATCATTCAGTTACCACTGTTTCCTGTCATGCCAGAAATTACATTTGGCATGAAATTTTGTCCATTTTTTTTTCTTCTTCATTGTAATGCATGTCTAAGTGGGTTTGATTGGATGGTTGTGGCTTGCTTTTGGTGAATCTCATGTAAGTGACAGGCTGATCCCTCCCACTTGAGATGGAAATATGAGCTAAAGAAGTTGTTTTTATTTAGGATTATGAGGACACATTAATTAAAAAAGCATGTGTAAATAGTTTATAAAAGAATTTCTTTTTTTTTGTAAATGTTTGATTTCATAGTGACCTAGAGCAGTGTTTCTTAACCACATTCCTGGAGGACCACCAGTTCAGCTCGTTTTACATGTCTCCTTAACCAAATATAGACTTTTTTTATTTTATTTCAATGCTGAGGGTTTGTTCCAGAGCTATTGCTGTAATGATGTCTCAACTTTCCAAGCACTTATTGCTAAATATCCTTTTACTTGTGTATTAGTACAACTTGGATTTTCTTTGTTTTCCTTTCTGAAACTAGGTCTTTGTGTATGTTTTGATGTTCTCTAGATATCTGAGATCCCCAAACCTGCATTTCTGTCTCAAACACTGGAGGAGCTGAACATCGGGACGTTTGACAACATCGCAGTGGTACACTCCGATACGCCTCTGTACGCCGCACTCGGCATCTTCGTGGAGCAGAGAGTGTCTGCTCTTCCTGTGGTGGATGAAAATGGTCAGAAGAAATTTATTCATTGCATTTTAATTGTCTGTTTGTTTGTTTTTTTTACTTCTTATTAATTATACCTCCATGTTCATTATTTTATTTCCTGCTATAGTGTACATACAGTTGAAGTCAAAATTATTAGTTCTCCTGTTAAATTTTAATTATTTTATTTCCCCCAAATTCTGTTAATAGAGAGAAAAAAATTTTCCAACACATTTCTAAACATAGCAGTTTTAATAATTAATTTCTGATTTGTTTATTTATTTCATTTTTGACTAGATATTTTTAAGACACTAGTATTCAGTTTAAAGTGACATTTAAAGGCTTCACTAGGGTAATTAGGGTAAAGTTAGGGTAATTAGGCAAGTCATTGTATAACAGTAGTTTGTTCTGTAGATAATCCAAAACTAATTTTGCTTAATGAGGCTAATAATATTGACCTTATATATATATATATTTTTTTTATTAAAAACTGCTTTTATACTAGCCATAATAAAACAAACAAGACTTTCTCCAGAAAAAAAATTATGAAATATTATATAAATATAACTATAAATGCAATGAATTTCTCCTTACTCCGTTAAATATCCCTTGAGAAATATTTTAAAAAGAATAAATATTTCACAGCTAAAATTTTAGCCCACAAATGTACATCTCTTGTATAATTTAAATTGTATAATGTGTTCAGAGCCACTCTCAAAATAAAATTAAAAATGAAATAACAGAGATCTTACCTTGCTCCCTCTGTTGCCAAAACCGGGGGGGAAAAAATATAGCAAACAAAAACTGGCATCCACCTCCCTTCTGCTCCGTTAAAGTTGAACCAAAACCAAAATTACAAAGTAAAAATGATAAATAGCAATTAAAGTCAAGTTTTTACAAAATCATTAGATTGTTGAATGTCTAGAAACAACCAGATTTTTAACTTCTCCACACGTATTTTAAGAAATATTTCAACTGTAGTAGCACTATAGCTTGTCTGGGGCAGGAGAATCAAGTGCAAGCAGCCTCAGCCAGGTAGTGTTTGGCACAGGCTGCTAGGGATGGCTGACATGAAACTCTGACATGACACAGTTTCGAGATCCCGAAGTGTTTCGAAACACTGCACCGAAGCATGATCCGAAACACCCAGGTCACGTGACTAAAGTGTTTCGAAACACTTGGTCACGTGACTAAAGTGATTCAAAGCATCGATCAGTTAAGAAGCGTTTCGGGACCTAGCAAATCTACATCCTACTGCCGGAGTCAGATTCTTGACCTGTCTCATATGGCCTAGTGGACTGTGCGTGTGCGCGCTGTTACTATTCTTTCAATGTCTTTTGGGTTCGAATCCTGACTTGTACAAATACTCCCAAATCATGGTTTTATGTATTTTAATCATATTTCTGTTTTATGGTGTAGCCTAAATAGATTACAGCTGCGGATACGCCGTCAATATAGCATCATTTTTGTAACACTAAAGCAATAATGAATATTTTTACAGTACTGATGGTTGGGTTTGGGTAGACGTTAATGGAATACAATAAATGGGAAATTTAATGAATAATATAACTAATTCTTGATAACCTCTGGCCACAACTGTGTCTGCTCTAGCAATAACCGTTTTAATACCAAAACAAGACATATTTATTCACAAAGTGTTTATTCGGATGTCAGACCAATGTTGAAACAAAACGAAACAAGAACAAAGCATTACCGACTGGTATTAAAGCATTTCATAATAGCTGTATCAACCTGGATTCGAACCCACTATCCCCACATGGAAGTCAGAAACCTTAACCGCTCCACTAAATCTCTTGAATAATTACTTCTACAAAGTGGGGTTTAATATCTCAATTTGCTAAAATGTTCTTGCTGAAGCTGTTTCAGTGCAATACATAAAAAACGACCACAAGATGTCACCGTAGAGTGGGGTTTCGAAACGTTTCGAAGCTTCGACTCATTTGCTTCGATTGTTTCAGTGTTTCATGAAGCCTCGCTTTGCCCACCACTACAGGCTGCGTCCGAAACCGCCGACTACTCAGTAGGTACTGCATTTGAATTTAAACGTACTACTCGGCCGTTAGGAAAGTACGTTCTACACAGTATGAATGTGAAAGTATGAATGGAATAAGTCTGCGGTTTCGGACGCAGCCACAGTCTCTCCTTGTCCTCCACTGCTCCACTTAATTATCAACAGGTGTGTAACCTCATGATTAGGGGAGAGAGACAGAAAACAAAAACAACTCCCCCCACAGGGTGGCAGTGTAACACATTGAGGCCACAAATTTTTTAATTTAAACAAATTAAATTTAGTAGTGTCCAACTTCATTTGTTTGTTTAAATTCAGCCCAAATAAAATGTTTACAAC